ACTTGACACTATGACGCCTAAATCCCTGAGCTGATGTATTGGCTCAAGTATAGTGTCTTTGGAAACTGAGTATTGATAGTGTTCAACCACAAATGGAAGTTCAGATAGTACATATTGGTGGTTGAATTTATGACACATGTACTCAAATTTGTCTTTGTGAAGGGCCATATTATTTCTTTCAGACCAGTCAATGACATTTTGCAGATCTTCTTGGAGGAGCTTGACGTCATGCTCCGATTTGATAGCAATGGATATGCGAGTGTCATCAGCAAAACATCGAATTATAGAGTGCATGATACAATGTTCGATATCATTGATAAAAATCAAGAAAAGGATCGGCCCCAAAACCGTACCTTGTGGAACTCCGCTGATTATCAGTGCAAGGATGGACAGATGACCGTCAACAACAACTGCTTGTTTCCGGTCTGAGAGGAAAGATTCTATCCACTTTATGATTTTAGGATGGATTCCATAGAGTTGGAGCTTTCTCAGTAGGAGTTTGTGATCGACTTTATCGAAAGCCTTGGCATAGTCGAGGTATATTGAATCAAAATCTGAATTGTTGCTCAGAGAATCCAAAACGTCATCAAAATGGTGGAGAAGTTGAGTAAGGCAACTCCGGCCAGATCTAAATCCGTGCTGCTTACTACAGATGAGGTTATTGATCTCCAAATAGTTTACCAGCTTTTTTCTTATCACCCTCTCGTATACTTTAACCACATGAGAGGTGAGTGATATAGGTCGGTAGTTAGCTGGTTTGGCTCGACTATCCTTCTTGTGGAGAGGAAATACGTGTGAGAACTTATAGAAACTAGGGACCTCCCCAGTAACTAAAGAGCGGGACCAGATGATGTGCATTGGTTCTGCTAGGGCTTTCTTGCAGTTCTTGAGAAGGGTGACTGGAATTTCGTCAGGACCTGATGCAGCATTAGGTTTGATGTCTTCAATGGCCTTAATGATGTCGTCCACGGAGAAATTCAGCATATCGTCAGTAAAAGGATGCTTGATTGGAGGGGGACTGAAAGAAGCAGAGTCGATCCGAGTTTTCGAAGGATCACTGAATACTGACAAGAACTGATTCTGCAAAAGGTTGGCAATATCTTTTGGATTTGATTTGATGGCACCGTTTCCATCAAAAAGCATGCTGATGTTGCTTTTCTTCTTCGAAAATTTCTTAGCGTAACTATAGAAATACTTGGGATTTTCTTTTACCTTGCTTACGGCTTGCTGTTCACGGTACAGGAGATCCTGGTTGATGGCATCACGAATATCCATATGAGCGAGAGCAAGTTTCCGGTTCAAAGATTCAATCTGTGTTGGAGGGCTATGGGGATTAATTTTTGCAGCCTCTAGCTGGGTTTGAAGCTTTCGTTTTCTGCGAGAGGGGATGCGCACAGATGAGCGAGTTTGGGTTTTGGGAGGGATCTTCTTCGGACAGCCAATCTGGCAGATTTGTAGAGTAATAAGAGTGAATAGCTCTGGAAAATCCTCTTTGTCGCAAAGGTTGATGAGTTGAGCCCAGTCAACAGATGAGAGCATGTCATTGATCGATGAAAAATCTGCTTTATTAAAGTCTAAGCTTCTAAACGAAGAATCAATGAAATCCGGAGGATCTGAATGAGTAGGAGAACAAGGATTGTAAGACAGAAATATCTCTACACGTCTGTGATCTGATAGTGGAGTGTCCGAAATAGAGACGTGAGAAACTAGATCCTCTGAGTTTGAAATGTACAGATCTAATACATTTCTGAGTCGGGTGGGTTCCAGCACATGTTGAGTACATAGATTCTCAGACATGAAGTCAAGTAAAAGAGCTGCACTGTAAGTTGAACATGAGGAACCACCGGGTAAGATAGAATTAGTGGACCAGCCAATGAGGGGAATATTAAAGTCTCCAAGAAGTGATAGCCGGTATTCGCCATCGCCACTGGCAATGTACTGGTCAATGAAGTCCAAACATGATTTAAAACTGGGAACTGGACACTCGATTTGATTTGATTTGAAACTTTTACAAAATAGCAAATATACAAATGTACAGCAAGTCGAACAAACATATAAAATGGGCCGAAATGTATAAATGCTATAAAGCGTGGGTCAGTGAAACAAGTACAGAGGACAACTTTCAAAACAGGAGTTTTATGGCCGCCCAAAGTCTCAATAACATCACCTCCACCTAGTAATAAAATTATGAAATATGAAAAGTGTGAAACAATCAAATAATAAAATATTAAAAATATGTAGTTGTCCCTTAAATACAGATAACGTCTGAAAATTCTTAAAATAATCATCACTCCTTCATATACTGATCAGTGTCCGAGAGTGTAACTCATGATGACTTCTTATCACGGCTACATACCTTCCCGTACCGGATGTAGTGGTCGAGATGAGTCTGTTCCGCCCTCTTCTTCTTCAGGTCAGTGACCAGATGCTTCCTTGTTGCTCGTTCTTCGCTGGATCTGTCTGGACATATCCATACATCTTTGTGCGTCTCCCTCAGTCTCCCTGTTTTCATCAGAATCTGATGAACCGCTGTTGAGCTTGGGACGGTGATCTTGACTGGTCGGATAGCCGTACTACCTGGCCTCTTCCAACCGACTCTAGTCGCTTCAAAGTGAGCTTTCTCCCCGATATCCTCCAAAACTGCGGTAACTAGCGCTGGAAGCTGTTCTTCCTCCTCTTCTTTCAGCCCAAACACGATCAGGTTCTTGCTCCTGTCCTCCTCTGCAGCCACACTCTTCATCACCTTCTTCAGGATTTTACTGTTGCAGACCGTACCACTTGCACTGTTCTTTTGAACAGCTGCACTATAGTTCTGAATCCCTGACTCCACCGTTGTTTGGACTGTCTCCTCAACAGACGTCTTAAGCAACTGTAGTTGTTCGTCCTTCTGCATCAGCAGCTGGCCCTGCAGTCTGATCACCTTTTCTTTGTCTGCTAGTGCTTCCGTCTTGAAGCACTCGATGATCTCCTTCAAGAGATACATCTGACTACTCTGCCGACGAACAAGGTCCACTGCATCCACAATCCAGCCAGACAGAGTCTGTTTATCCTTAGTCTTGATCTTTTCACGACTTTCGTAGTCAATGTCACGGTAGTCCATATGCAGGTCTTTTTCTAACTGAATGGACCAGCGTGCAACACAGCCTTCCACATCTTCCTGTTGATCATAGTTGAACTCCTTAATCAACTCCTGGGATCGGGTCAAAGTTGGGTCATCCCCCATAGTGTACTTGTATAGTAATGTACAAGTACACACGCAAAGGTAAACTATATACGCGGTAGCAGCAAACTGAACTTATTGCAAATTTACAAAAGATAAGAGAGCTCGATATTTGCAACACAAATGATTGACTTTTCAGATTCGCTGGTACACATCAAAGCCTGACAGTATCTATCATCATATGTCTGGACGTTAGTTATGGGGAGTTCATCATGTGTATAAAGTAAAACTCCACCTCCAACCCTAGCTTCTCTATCACTTCTGAACAGAGAGTAACCCGGAATTTCAAGTTGAGCATCCTCAATGTAAGACTTAAGCCATGTCTCTGTCAAGGCGATTAATGGAACGGTGTGGTTCTTGGCTTGTTCCTTTCTTAATTCGTCTTCAAGGTAAGAGGCTTTCCATCTGGAGGTGCTATGGGCGCTAGGGTTAAATGATTGAATGTTTAGCAGCCAGATGCTAGAATGTTCGACCAGTTCGCTTGGGGAGGAGGAAAACGACTCTGCGGTTGGAACTGGGGAGCAGGATGTTGGAACATGATGTTCTGGCTTGGAGGACCGTGAGGGACGAACTGCCTGATGATGTGCTGGTTGGCACTGGGGAAGAGCGAGGCAATTCTGTTCTCCTGAGTCACAATACTGGATTTTATGTTTTCGATCTCTTTCTGAAAAGTGGTCTGGAAGTTCGTCAGAAGGGATCGAATCTCTAAAAAATCCTTGTTCTCATGATGGGGTGTTGACTTAGTATGAGACTGAGAAGAAGAGCGCGTCCTTTTATTGTTTTCTGGTAAACTTTCTGGTAAACTCTGCATCACGTGTCTACTTCAGCAGTAACAGTAGCTCTGCTTGCTATCTAGTTTCTGGTTAACTCTGCATATTGTGTCTACTTCAGCTCATATATTCGTAGTACTTTTTTAAACCGTAGCTTTTGCTTTTCTCTAGTGATAGTCAGACGTTATTAACCATGTTTCTACTACTACTACTACTACTATTGTTAGAATGTTATATATAACGGAAACTTAATCTATAATAAGAATAAAAGTAAATACCATCGTCGTTTGTCTGTTACATCAGTAAAAACTTACATAAGTAAGTTGACTAGTTTAAGTTTGATCTGATTACCAAGTAGCTGGTAAACTAATCCCCCACACAGGACACAGTGTATACTGTATACTGTAGTTAAGTGTGTAAAACAAGTATTTGAGCGCAGAGTGTCGTCAACTGTTATTGTGTAATTTCTTGTCAGTTATGTTTAAATCCAATACTTTTGTGTTTTATTATATCAATAGTTTTTCTATTCAAGCTATATTATAATATAGTGAATTGATGGTACCATAGTAAGTTAATCTTTATCTGTATTTACAGCTGAAACTGGGGATACAGTCAATCACATGAGGCTAATCTATTTACTGCATTAATATTCCAGAATATTACTCATTTTCTAGTTACCATCACTGAGTAGCTCGTACCAGACAATATCAGTAAATTTCAATAGTCTCCTATTATTAGCTTTGTTGTTACTTTATGTTACTTTATGTTACTGTTATGTAACATTAGTAGTTTATTATTATTTCCTAGTGTTAGTATTTAAAATTAGCTGCCGAATCGGAATTAAGAGCTCTACATTTCTAAATTGTAGGAATTCAGCGCAATATTGCGCGGGGACCCTGATAAATCTTTGTATATTATACTATATGCTATATATATACTATATTATAGTATATATATATAGATTTATATTATATAATGTACAATGTATACTAATGTATAATGTACACCAGGTATTGTGATAGGAGATGTAGTGTGTACAATGAGTGTTCTACACCAGATCAGTAAACTGGACCCCAACTCTAAACTAAAACCTGTCAACCTGAAATCTATCAGAGCTGGTGAGTACATGTTTAGTGTATAGTGTACTTGTGTATAGTGTATAGTGTACTTGTGTACTTGTGTATAGTGTATAGTGTACTTGTGTACTTGTGTATAGTGTACTTGTGTACTTGTGTACTTGTGTACTTGTGTATAGTGTATAGTGTACTTGTGTATAGTGTACTTGTGTATAGTGTATTTGTGTATATAGTTTATAGTGTACTTGTGTACTTGTGTACTTGTGTACTTGTGTACTTGTGTACTTGTGTACTTGTGTACTTGTGTACTTGTGTACTTGTGTACTTGTGTACTTGTGTACTTGTGTACTTGTGTACTTGTGTACTTGTGTACTTGTGTACTTGTGTACTTGTGTACTTGTGTACTTGTGTACTTGTGTACTTGTGTACTTGTGTACTTGTGTACTTGTGTACTTGTGTCTCTCCCTTTACTGGGCTGTTGGGGGATGGGAAGGTAGAAATAGTAAAAAGTATGGCAAATGGAGGGACAATAAATAAAGATATCTTAACAATTAGCTGTATCTCAAACCAAACCATTAATTTAACTGTGTTAATCCAGTAACCCATTATGTACATAGTTACCAGGCGTTACCAGGCGTTACCAGAAAAACTAACAAGGGCTGGAACTGTCCTAACACTACGTCAGAATTTCCTGGGAATGATGATATAACTGAAATACCTGTAATCTTGCCAGAGTTACTCGACACGCCATTGATGTTAAGTGGTACCTTAAAAGGGTACACTTAAGGATCTTATTACAGTTCAAAGATATACCCGTCACGCTCCAGTACCACCACGTGCAATATACCCGTCACGCTCCAATACCACCACGTGCAATATACCCGTCACGCTCCAATACCACCACGTGCAATATACCCGTCACGCTCCAATACCACCACGTGCAATATACCCGTCACGCTCCAATACCACACGTGCAATATACCCGTCACGCTCCAATACCATCACGTGCAATATACCCGTCACGCTCCAATACCATCACGTGCAATATACCCGTCACGCTCCAGTACCACCACGTGCAATATACCCGTCACGCTCCAATACCACCACGTGCAATATACCAGTCACGCTCCAATACCACCACGTGCAATATACCCGTCACGCTCCAATACCACCACGTGCAATATACCCGTCACTCCAATACCACAACGTGTAATATACCCGTCACGCTCCAATACCACACGTGCAATATACCCGTCACGCTCCAATACCACCACGTGCAATATACCCGTCACACTCCAATACCACCACGTGCAATATACCCGTCACGCTCCAATACCACCACGTGCAATATACCCGTCACACTCCAATACCACCACGTGCAATATACCCGTCACACTTTAATACCACCACGTGCAATATACCCGTCACGCTCCAATACCACAACGTGTAATATACCCGTCACGCTCCAATACCACACGTGCAATATACCCGCCACGCTCCAATACCACCACGTGCAATATACCCGTCACGCTCCAATACCACCACGTGCAATGCCCAAAATATTACTTTGCTAATCACGTTTATAAAATACTAATATATACAATGTATATTATACACGGATTTTATGTAGCTCCCACCACAAGCTACTAGGAGCTAGAGTAGATTAAACACTACTCACACGCTGTAGTAGTAGTAGTGTATACTGTACAGTCTCGTGACTGCGGTGTATAGTAACAGATTAAAGAGTAATGCTTGCTGGACCTGTATCTCTAACTTCGCGTGGGCAAATTGGTTTTTATAATATTACAGAATACAGACATAATAATATTATGTACCTTTAGATGTTATATTTTAGACTATTATAGTCGGACAAACTGAAGCTCTTTACTTTAGTTACTGATCGGTTCAATGTAGAACTAGGTTTTTGAGTCTCTAACCACAGTATTTACAATAGCAGTATGTCAAGTATTAATTACAACTATCAGTAGTCGTGATGAAAGTCTCTTAGAATGAGTTAGGAATCAAGTTACAGTAGCTAGAGGTTGCTTAGCTAGGTTTCCTAGAGGCAGACACAACAAGTGTACACGTGACCAGAGGTGGACACGTGATCCTAGGTGGAAGCTGATATGTTCCTCACTGTTATCTGTATTTGTGTGCTATTGTATTTAACAGTCACTGCATTGGTCTCTTTAATTAATTAAGGAAGAGAGAGGATTATTTCAGTCGTGTCATTTCCTTACCTATTGTCATGACAACAGAGGGTGGGGTAAAAACCAGCCAATCACAGAGCAGTATTTCTGGGGTGAACCAATGGGAAGGCTAGGATAAGAGACACGTGATGATTTGGTAGTGTTGTACGAGGTAGTTTTAGTCTGGTAGTTCTGACACTTGCCTCAATCTTACCAATATAGAACTGCTGGTAACTACTGGTAACTACTGGTAACTTCGCCACTGCTGGTAACTACGCTGGTAACTACGCCACTGCATAAAAATATTGTGGGACATAGCATCAGGCATCCTGAGCTACTTGCCACTTGCCAGTGACTTAGTGTTATGGGAACCTATGCATGGTAGAGCACAGCAAGGCCGACCAAGACAAAGCTACTTGTCTATGTTACTGAAGGAAGTTGGGACAAACTCTAAAGAGGAACTGCGAACCCTGATGCGGGACAGGGATATATGGAGGTGGTGGTGGTGGTGATGGGCTAGGCGTCTAAGGGTCCCTCAAGCAAGGTCTTCTTAGCAAACGCCAGGATTTCTATCGGGTTGGTGGTTAGTATGTCCAAGTTTAAGTCAGATTTTCCGAAGATTTCTTCTCTCGTCCTGATCGTTGCAGGGCACCGAATCCAGTGTGGTACTGTTTCTTCTTCTTCTCCGCACGGGGACAAGTTGCACTCTTTGTAGATCCTATTTTTGTAGTGGGACAGGTGAAGGCTCTGAGTTGTGCTAGCAGCGCTCCGTCTTTCCTGCTCTCTATTTTACTGTCCGCTCTTTTTCTGTTGTATCCCTTGTAAGTCTGGGAGACCAGGTGGTGTTGGGGGTCGCTATCCTTGATGTGAGCCTTCGCTACTGCTCTGGCTACTCCGTATGAGATTGTAGACTGTCCTTGGCCCAGGTCTGGCGTAGTATATCGGACTCAGTTCCGACATAGTAGTAGTAGTAGTTCTTAGTTTTAAAGTTAAATTTGAAGGATTTAAAAAAGATATGATTTTTAAAAGTTTTGTTAATGATTGTTATTTTTGGAATGTTTCAAATGAGGTTTTAGGAAAATTTTAGGGAACCGATTATGTTATTAATAAAGAAAAGCATAATGAATATCTTAGGTTTAATCCCCATGTTGCTAAGAAACGTTTTATTAACTTATATAGTAGTGGAAAGTATAATTAGGTAGATTTTTACTGGGCCTTTGAACTTAGAATGTTATTTAAATTTTTAAATCTTTGTAGAAATATTTATAATGACATGTGATGATGTTTGTGTCACTCACTCTCAGTAAATGATACGCCACTGCCACTCACAGTAAATATTTGGGAATTGGGAAAGGAAACTGATTTCTGGGGTATTATAAACTACCGAATTTGTCTAAATAGAACCTGGATAATATCATGATATCATATTAGATACCTTACGAGACACGATTAACGCTATAACGTTTCGATTCAAACTTTGTTTTTTCTGCTTACAAGCTGCGTTTAGAAGCATCCACAGAATGGATGCCAAATCAAATAAATCCTGATGCATAATTATAATCAACAAAGAGGTTGGAATCTTCCTTAATTGTGTATTGAAACTCCCTGAACGTCTGTGTTCAGGTATAAGCTAATATACAAGCTAATATTAGCTAATATACAATCTAATATAAGCTAATACAGAAATGAAACATTTCATAATAATGTGTATGCTCAGGTAAGAAGACGCTAGACAGACAGATGTCAGATAGATATCCTATACAGACAGGGCCAATAAGCGAGTTCAACAAATCAGGTTACATTTATATGCTACTTTTCTATTTGCTGTAAGACGTGCAGTAGTATAGTGTAGGTCCTATTAATATGTTTCCAGTTGCTCAAAGTTAACATGTAGTTAACACGTAACAGCAGCCTATTGTACAGCTATATTTACGTAGCGGCATCAAATCACTCAGGTCCTTGGTAATTAATTTCTGACAATCGCAAATTGTCCTCAAATTATGCCGAAATGTCGCTAACAATCTCACAATGTTTTATTTGTTGAGTGTCAAGTGGGCAGGTGTTTAGTGTAGCCCCAAATAGAACTCCATTGTTGGTTCATGTGTATTGCTGAGGGAGTTAAGGGGATGTAACTATCCGCTTTGTTGTTAGACTTATAATCGGCCCCCTTCATGTGCAAATGTAGACACGGTGGATGATCACTTAACCGCACGCGCGGGGGTCTCACAACACTATGGGATTCTCGCGCCGGAATTGGCGCGGTATTTGGAGCGCGCGTTTCGTGCGCGTTTGTTTTGGTCCCCTGCCAGGAATCCAAACTACCCGATATCGTTATTGTGTTATATCGTAATTTGTGACGAACTCTACCTTTTCAGAGAAATTACAAGTTCTACTGAAACAATGCGCAGAACTATCAGACAGACTACACAACTTGCAATTGACAGAAGAAAGCATCTTAAATAGTCCGAGACCGCGACACTCAACAGAAGGTTCACCGTCTGCGGACAAACCGACTGACACACAAACAATCTGTATAACAGACGAACCCTGCTACCAGAGACCACACATTTCACCTCTACTCAAAACTTTAGTAACTCAGTCCCCTATAAGTTCAGTTCGCGTGCTAGAGCAACAACCAGTTCACAGTTACACATCGTCAGCAAGTAGCAATCTAGAACCTGTTGCTATTCTAAGACAAAAGAACGCGAACATTGAGCTGAAAAACATTGCGATAAGATGGTCCCAGTCACTACCAGAAGTGTTACCATGGTTACCAGACCCGGCTACATCTGACAGTTTTACAAGTGTTGCTATCCTAGACTCAGTGAGTCTGGCTAGCTCTAATGACGCATGTTCTCTTTGTAAAGATGGAAATGGTAACGGCTCCTGCAAAGGTTCGTCTCCTTGTGTTAGGAATTTGATATAATCCACTGTGAGCCACGCCTGTTGCACGCCAAGTAAGGTCAGATCACTAATGTGAAGTTAGTTCCTACATGTCGAGACTAGGGTTGGTCTGACGAACAATATTACAGAGGCGGCTATTGAGGGCGGCCTTTGCAATATTACGTAACTTGTCCTCGTGTCTCTCCTCCTTGCATTACATCACGCCTCCTCCACAGTACTCACAAGCGGGGGAGGCGTGTTTTATTAAACCAGCAGGAATACTCAGAATAGCAGTAGTATTACCTTATATGGGCATCACGTGGCTACCACTACCAGTAGTGTTACAGGAATAGCAGTAGTATTACAGCTATTGGTAGAGCAAGACACGCGAAATGTCGAGGTTCTGGGATCATTCCCCAGTTGTCCCTAGTTTTTCAGAATTAATCATCACCTATAATAGACAGCATGAGAGTAGGCCCTGCCATCTCGAAGTGATAATAATATTATAGCTCTCAATATACCAGTTCAGGAATATCTCCCGAATCAATTAAAACTAATAATAAAGCGGCAGTGAATTATATCGACTGTTCCATCTGCACTTCTGCAGTCTGCAGAATTTTACAGCTTAATTTGGACATTCGTCCTTTTGTCTGAATATCTAATTAACTGTTTAATCAGATTTCGTGAATTAATCAGACAGACCAATATCTCTATGCCACGTAAATTCTCAACCAATACCTACGAGTATACTATATATATAGTAAACTAAAATAGCGCTGATTTTATCTGACGTTGCCTTCCTGTTTCAGCGACAATCGGACCATGCGGTGCCAAGTCAATGCCAGTGTTGTATCGCTCCTTCGACAGTTTGACTGGTTCTGATACTCAGCGTAGAAGTCAAGGCAGTCAGGAGGTAAGTTATATTGTATATACAATATACAATATACATTATATATTATACATTATACAATATACATTATACAATATACATTATACATTATACATTATACATTATACATTATACATTATACATTATACATTATACATTATACATTCAGAGAAGACTTATTCCATCTGAGAGATTTAGCTCAACACCAAGCCTTAATTGAACAGTCCGATCTAGTCCTGATAAGTGCCGGAGTAAATGATCTCAGATACGGTCGAGCTGATCCCATGACTTTGCACAACCACCTAAAGCATTTCACAAGTAAATTCAGAACGGAATTCATTTTTGACGCTATCACACCTCTTAACCTGAGTGCAGACCCCTATTTTGAGCTGAACGACAGAATTGACAACCTGAACGAACTGCTTCTCCACTTTCCTCTACGTTCGGCCAATTTTCACCTGTTTGACAACCTGAATTTTGGTCTGCCTCACCTCGCACGAGACGGCCTTCACCTAAACAACACTGGGAAATCTATAGTAACTGCATGCTGGGTAGACTCTATTCTAATAAGCCTAGGGTTTCGTAAAGGATCATTACCCCTAAGACGTCCATTTTTAGATTTATACTATGACTATATGAACAGTTTCGGTTTCGGTTTCGGATGAGAATTGAATAAATAAAACTATTGTCAATACCAATACTAAACAAAAAGACTGATCTGCAAACATATTTCAAACCAAGTCAACGTAGCACGGCAAATTTAAAACCTTAAAACAAGTCGTATCTTAACAAGTTACACACTCACACCTTTCATACTATAACCCGTCTTATCAGTAATCAAAATAAAGCTTATCAGTTATCCTAATCAGTAATTACAGTCCCCTATGTAACATTATTGGTAATAAACACTTAAACACTTAAAATCGAAATTTTGATACACTATCTACACAATAAAATACATTGCCCATAGCACATTTTACTATATTGTACTAATACAGAAATCATTAAATTTCAGTGACAATACACCTAACTTTTGACGTTTGACTAACTTCTGCTTTACTACTAGACAAACATGACTCCACCGTATTACTCTTTTGACTGATCCACATTCCGTTGTCCTCGCAAAAGTCAATTTCGTACAGTTGAAGTTAAGCTACATTAAAGTTTAAGCTACACGTTTCATCACAGTTTCAGTATAAGTTACTTGCTCTCCGAGCATACTCGCTTGCTAGTTAGTTAGTTTTTGTTTTTTTTTATTTTTATTTTTAAATAGATAGTTTGGATTAGTTTAGATTATTAGTTAGTTAGAATATCAGTCAGGATCTGTTAGCACACAAAACTGTTAGTTTTCGCGAAGCAGGTCTGACTTTCATATATATAATTATAGCAATATACATTTATCATATACATTTTTCTTTTGACTAACCAAATCATAACGGAATTTTATCAGCTTTATTTATCAACTTCATGAACACTAATGGTGAAGTCAGCAATAGTCAAAAATAAAAATCAAATGCACGGCCTGTCCGGGTTGGTGTTACTCTAAGTCTAACCTGCGTACTTGTGCATGGTGCGAGGGCCCTGTGCACAAGAAATGTTTCCAGGAAACTTTAGGTTGCATCAGATGTTGCGAATCAATTATTCCTGGTTACAATGTAGATACATTCGATCTCTATGATAAGTTCGACCACCTTAACGCATCACGTCTTAGTTTCAATCCATATGATCGCTCGCACTTAATAAATTCCATTGGCAATAGTTTAGATCAGAACAGTGACACAAACAACGAATACTGGAATGAAATAAGCGAAATCCTAACCAAGTGCAAATATCAAGAACCTAAAAACGTTACAAACTCCGCCAAGGACGAGTTAGAAGCACTTTCATTAAATATACGATCACTAGCAAAAAACATAACATATCTCAGAGAAGAAATCCACACCTTCTCAAAATGCGATGTATTATGCTTTAATGAAACTAACTGTAACATTGATAAGCTGCCTAATGGTATTGATGATATCATGATCGAGGGTTTTCACGAACCTGTTATACAAGCACCTTTGAGGAAATCGGGGAGAGGAGGTGGGTTAGCAATTTATATAAATAAACGCGTGTGCGATTTCGAGAAAATTGAACGTATTGACTTAGCTCTGGATCCTGAAGATATGAGTGGCGAGTTTCAACTAGTCAAAATTCATAACTGCAAAGGTCTTAACAAAACGAAGGTAATAGTAAATTTCTACAGATCACCGTCAAGAGATACTAATAATTTCATTAGCTTACTCGATCACGTACTCAATAGACTAGATAGACACTCACGCAAACACGTTATGTTTCATGGCGATGCAAATATTGATCTTATCAAATATGACACCGATTCCTCAAGCCAGAACCTCATTGATACACTGGCAAAATATGGTTTTGCTCAAACAGTTTCCAAACCAACACGAGTCACTGACCACAGTGCCACCCTTATTGACCATGTTTACACAAATAATATTGAAAACACATTAAGTAGTAACGTTCTAACACTCGACATCTCTGATCATCTTGCAACACTAGCCACTATAAAGCTACGTGCAGTATCACAAAAGCACACCACACACTCGAATAGGACCAATACCACAAAATATCGTCAAACACGTACTATTAATGAAGCCAACAATGCCATCTTCAAGGAGCTATTGGAAGGGGAGACGTGGGAGGAAGCGCGGGAATCAGGCTGTGCAAATGAACAGTATGATAAATTCTCAGAAATCTACATGAAACATTACAACACTTTTATTCAAATTTCTGATTGTTTCTGAATAGACTCAGTGAAGACAAATTCTAATGGAAATAAATAGCTGAATAACGTATCGACATTTCTACGTCATACTCATATTCTGAAATAGTATTAATTCAATTATAACGATCAATATTCACATTAAAAATTTGACGACGAAATTTATTTCAAACAAAATATATAACTGTAAAATAGTTATCAACCGTAAATAGTTTTTAACGAAATCGGAGCAAATATGAACATAAAACTGACAAAATTGGGCTCATCTGAAAATTAACGAATAGCGTGGCGTTATACAGGAGATAAAAGATTAAAAGAGATAAAAGAATTAAACGAGAATATTACTATTTACACGTCACTCAACTAAAAACTGTGTTAGATTGTTCAACTCTGTTTTATCGTTGAGTGTTGGTTTATTTTCAACTAAAAATCGGGCTTCTTTAATCTTTCTGTTGATGAGTGATGTTCCTCTATCTACGATTTGAAGTTTAAGCTTTGGGGGGCCTTTGTGCTGAGGGTGACTTTCCCTGTAGTGCTTTGCTAGTGGCTTATCTTCGTAAGATTTTGCTGTTGGATTTGCCGCACTACGGTAATGCTCGTCGAACCTGCACTTGATCGGTCTGTATGTTTCCCCACCATAGTTCTCGGTACAATTGTCTACTTCGCAAGTGATGTGGTAGACGGTATTAGTTGTGGTGCATTCTCCATCGGTTAAAGCTGCGCATGTTCTGCAGTTTGATGTTGTACAGGATTTCTTGTCAAGGGGTCTGGAGTCTGTAAGGAGATCCTTCAGTTTCCGTCCAGGTTTCTCGACAATTTTGATGGGGAGTCCACTATGTCTGACAGCATCTCTGTATTTGCGACTAGTAGCTTCGTTGACATAGGGTAGTTTGAGAATCGCTCCGTCTTGGTCTTTGTTCTGTACGTTCTGATTAATTCTCTTTCTACGTTTTCTCTTGTTCTTTATGGTTTCTAAGACTCTATCAGTGTAGCCGTTGTTGATGAGAAGTTTATCTATCATCTTTTCTGAGTACTTCTCGTTTTCTCTGTTGTTAGAGACTGCCTCTGCGGTGTTGTACATACTCTCAACAGTAGCATTCTTTGTACGTGTTGTATGATGAGAGTTGTAGTGGAGGGTGAGTGGCTTTTTCTGTGGTTTTCTGTAGAGTCTAGAATGTACTATTCCATCTGAGTCGATCTTTATTTCCGTGTTGAGGAAGGGAACAAAGTCGTTCTGATTGTCAGGGTAGTCTACAGTTAGTTTGATAAGTTTGTCAGGATCTTGTTGTTCGATGAGGTTGCACAGTTGCTGAGCTTTTCGTCTGTTGGTGGTGGCTCCGTTTAGATCGTCGTAAAACCTGCTGTAGGTGGGCAGTGTTATCCTCAGGTCTACGTAGACTGAAAGTTTTTCCAGTTTCCACATTTTGACAGTAGCTAGTATAGGTGCAGGGTTGGTTCCCATGAACAATCCAAGAAGCTGTAGGTAGACTTGATTGTTGTAGACAAAATATGACTTTCCTAGGGTTGTCTCTAGTAGTTCTTGTAAATCAGAGAGATGGAGACCGTATTTCGTTAAAAACTATTTACGGTTGATAACTATTTTACAGTTATATATTTTGTTTGAAATAAATTTCGTCGTCAAATTTTTAATGTGAATATTGATCGTTATAATTGAATTAATACTATTTCAGAATATGAGTATGACGTAGAAATGTCGATACGTTATTCAGCTATTTATTTCCATTAGAATTTGTCTTCACTGAGTCTATTCAGAAACAATCAGAAATTTGAATAAAAGAACTATCAAATCATGAGACTCAAAAACACTACACGAATCCACCACATTACAACACTGCATACCCCGTTAAGAGCAATCGTAGTCGTCGCGAAAATGAACGGTCTGATCCGAAGCCGTGGATACTTCCATGGCTCGAAACGGCCTGCTCACGTAAACAGCATTTATATCATCTGAATATCACTGAGCCTACTTATGAAAACATAGCCGCATACGATAAAATGAAATTATTTTGCAGTAAACACGTTAATCTTGCCAAGGAGCGGTATTACAAAAAACAATTTGAAAAATATCAGGACTGTTCCAAAAAACAATGGGAGATAATCAACGGCCTGCTAAACAGAAAAAGACGGGGATCTGATCAGATTAGATTGAGGGATACTGACGGGACGATCCTGAGTACTAACTCGGCTGTCGCTGAAAAGTTTAATGGCTACTTTTCCAGCATCGCAGCCAACATCAAGTCTCAGATCAGTTCCCGACAGACCTTCGATCCTGGGGGGTTCCAGGACTATCTGACCGGGTCATGTCCAACGTCTATCTACCTTGAACCTGCGACACCTATCGAGATACATAGAATTATTATTGGCCTCAAAAATAAGGCAACTCTCGATTCAAAAATTGAGCCTTTGAAAATAGCTAGCACATGCCAAAATTTTGTATGTACCTTTGCATCAGTAGTCAACACATCTTTTGCAGAGGGAACTTTCCCTAAAGCTCTGAAAACCGCAAAAGTTACACCTATACACAAAGGAGGTTCCAAACTCGACGTAGCAAATTATAGACCTATCTCGCTTTTGGGCTCGTTCTCAAAAATTTACGAAAAACTCATGCACAGGCGGGTATTAGAATTTCTCGACAAGAATAACTCACTATTCGAGAATCAATACGGATTCCGACCAGGAAGATCATGCGAGCATGCGCTTCTCAATGCTCAGAGCTCCATTCTGCATTCCCTAAATAAGAACCAAATAACACTACTATTACTTTTAGACTATAGTAAGGCATTTGACGTCCTAGATCACGCGACATTACTCAGGAAACTTGAGCATTACGGTATTCGCGGCATTGCCTTGAAATGGTTCGAGTCATACCTTAATGGTCGCAGTCAATTTGTCTCCTTGAACGGCTCCAATTCATCATTAGAATCTATGGTATACGGTGTTCCACAAGGTAGCATATTAGGCCCCCTGCTTTTCGTTATATATATCAATGACTTACCAGGAATCAGTAACTTAGCTAAATTTATATTATACGCAGACGATGCAAATATAATTATCACCGGATCAAATATACAAGAAATTGTATCCAAAATCGACCACCTCACTGATGTGTTGATAAAATGGGTTTACTCAAACGGCTTAGCTCTTAATTTGAAGAAGACTTGCTATATGGTATTTTCAAAAAGACGGGTAGACCTATCGTCTCTACAGGTAAGAATTGACAACACTCCTATTGAACGCAAAACGGAGGCCAGATTTTTAGGAGTTATCGTCGACGACAAACTAAACTGGGCCAGCCACATTCGTGCTGTCAAAACAAAAATGTCACGGTTTATAGGTGTTATGTTCAAAATAAAACGCAAATTACCAATCAAAGCACGCTTACAGATCTTCCAAAGTTTTGTACAATCTCACTTAAATTTCTGTTCGCTCGTTTGGGGTTTTGCTGCAAAATCTCATATTAACTCACTGTTCACTAAACAAAAACAAGGAATACGAGCAGTTATGCCGGGTTACGTGAATTACTATTACAAAGATGGTAAACTTCCGGATCATACTAAAGCTACGTTTAAAGAGTACGAAATATTAACTGTACACGGGGTAATCATAAAAAATGCTCTGACTCTGATGCACAAGATAAATTACATGCCTGGCCTTCTGCCGTCGTCGATAAAAGACTTATTTCCTCCCGATTTACCAAAGTATGGCACATCTTATGACGACAATATCGACTGGCTAACAACGTACTCTCAACCAGATCTACGCGCTAGTGTTCTGTATAAAGGTCCAATATTAGCTATTACCGAGCACAACATTAGTCGCATAACTTGCCCATCTAGCATTTTCTCAATAAGCATTTATAAGAAATCAGCAAAGCGTGTAATGATAGAACTACAAAGCTCAGGAAACGATGAAGAATGGCCAACTTTTCTGTTACATAATTTACCCGGGCTACGTAAATCAGCAAGATCAGGCACTCAACAAATCAACTACCGAGAATAACCTAAGGAATAAGTAAAACTAGACGGTTAGCACACCATTAGAACAGCCGTTAATAGCAACCTAACATATTATGCAGCTCAACTTTCACTATTATATCCCATCTAAATCACTTATCGTGCCATCCTGACAGCACATTCCATATTTCACTGCCAACTAGCGCAAACCTATACTGATAAAACACCTACGACAGTATTATCAAGTAAAGAATTTTATATAAACGTTTAAGCTTTTAAATGTGTTTGCAGATCAGGGTCATCAGAATCAACTGATAAAATCTAGACGAAATAACTATGAGTTCGATGGCATGTAATTTGCGTGCCCTTCGGGGATTAATATTGATTATTACAATTATTATATATTTTGAGTAAACATTGACTGGTGTAAAAGCCAGCCCCAAACAAACAAACAAACAAAACATTATACATTATACATCTATATAAAGAACCTGTGATGAATAAACCCGTTTACTAATAAACTTACTTCCCCAGGTACTATCTCCAACAGGAAGTCGACCCAAACGTCCCAACTCATTTGATCTGTCTCCAGACACTCCCGTTATTATAGAAGACCAGGATATGGACGACGAGGGGATTATTCAGATCGGCCAGAGGAAGATTAGAGAGTCTCAGAATAAGTGAGTTATGGTTTGGTACCCCCCCCCCCCTCAGAATAAGTGATTTAAGGTTTGGTACCCCCCCCTCTCAGAATAAGTTAGTTAAGGTTTGGTACCCCCCCCCTCCTCTCAGAATAAGTTAGCTAAGGTTTGGTACCCCCCCCCCCTCAGAATAAGTGAGTTATGGTTTGGTACCCCCCCCCCCCTCAGAATAAGTGATTTATGGTTTGGTACCCCCCCCCCCCTCAGAATAAGTGATTTAAGGTTTGGTACCCCCCCCTCTCAGAATAAGTTAGTTAAGGTTTGGTACCCCCCCCTCCTCTCAGAATAAGTTAGCTAAGGTTTGGTACCCCCCCCCCCTCAGAATAAGTGAGTTATGGTTTGGTACCCCCCCCCCCCTCAGAATAAGTGATTTATGGTTTGGTACCCCCCCCCCCCTCAGAATAAGTGAGTTATGGTTTGGTACCCCCCCCCCCCCCCCCCCCTCAGAATAAGTGATTTAAGGTTTGGTACCCCCCCCCCCCCCTCTCAGAATAAGTTAGTTAAGGTTTGGTACCCCCCCTCTCAGAATAAGTTAGTTAAGGTTTGGTACCCCCCCCCTCAGAATAAGTGAGTTATGGTTTGGTACCCCCCCGGCCCCCCCCCCCCTCAGAATAAGTGATTTATGGTTTGGTACCCCCCCCCCTCAGAATAAGTTAGTTAAGGTTTGGTACCCCCCCCCCCCTCTCAGAATAAGTTAGTTAAGGTTTGGTACCCCCCCCCCCCCTCAGAATAAGTGATTTATGGTTTGGTACCCCCCCCCTCAGAATAAGTGATTTAAGGTTTGGTACCCCCCCCCCCTCAGAATAAGTTAGTTAAGGTTTGGTACCCCCCCCCCCCCTCTCAGAATAAGTTAGTTAAGGTTTGGTACCCCCCCCCCCCCTCAGAATAAGTGATTTATGGTTTGGTACCCCCCCCCCCCCTCCCCCCCCCTCCCCCACGTAACGTTCTACTTTGCAGTAGTAGTTACCCTTTTATTTGACTTTTGAATTGGCTTGTTACAATCTCTTATTTTCAGTGAGAACTACAACTCACAGAATACAAGGAGTGATTTTAAACGTGCTCAAACGCTCAGTTTAAGAAGGTTGGAATTTTATTACATTCTTTTCTTGTACTCTGTACTTTCTATTTTGTACTTTCACTTTCTATTTTCACTTAACTTGCACTTTCTATTTTGACTCTGAATATCTATTTGAGCAGGCGTTCAAGTATGATCTCATTATAATAGAGGTCTAGAACAATAGCTACTAGGTTACAGTGGTTACTAGGTTACAGTGTTTACTAGGTTACAGTGGTTACTAGGTTGCAGTGGTTACTAGGTAACGAGGTCTAGAACAATAGCGTCACCGGTCACTGGGAGGAATACCTGCAAATTAACCTTATCTCCCCAGAAGTGGACCCATGATGGATAATGTCATGATAAAGATAAACGGCAGTCACTCGATCCGTCACTCCAGACCGCTGATGAACGGTCCCATCTCCCCCTTACACCCTATGGTAGTGCCCCGGAACCAAGTAATGGACCCCATGGCAGCTGCTCACAGCCAGGGGATGGTTCCCATGGCAGCTGCTCACAGCCAGGGGATGGTTCCCATGGCAGCTACTCACAGCCAGGGGATGGTTCCCATGGCAGCTGCTCACAGCCAGGGGATGGTTCCCATGGCAGCTGCTCACAGCCAGGGGATGGTTCCCATGGTAGCTGCTCACAGCCAGGGGATGGTTCCCATGGTAGCACCACGAACACATGGTCTGGTCACTGCACAGCAGGGCACTGATCCTGGACTGTACGACCATTTGAGAGCAGCTAGTATTACCAGCAATTCCAATAACAGTGAGTAAATCTAGGAGGAAAAGGTTAATTTTAGCGCCCTTAAAACCGAGTGAGGTCGATAAGCAAAAACGGTATACTGATTTATTGGAGATTTTGTATTCTATTTCATGTACAGAATCATATTTACAGACCTCAGATTAAGGTTAATTACATAAAATATTTGGTTTAACTTAGTAATCTTTATCCAGATATCGCAGGAAATGGATCTATGGACTGCCTGTCTAACACTGATAACAATAGCTCAAGGTGAGTTACTATTATTTCTGTTTTACTAGTACTTTCGCTTTCTGTTTTACTTTATCTCACTCTTTCGCTTTCTGTTTCACTTTATCTCACTAGTACTTTCGCTTTCTGTTTCACTTTATTTCACTAGTACTTTCGCTTCCTATTTCACTAGTACTTTCGCTTTCTGTTTTACTCCCTCTTTTGCTTTCTGTTTCACTTTATCTCACTCTTTCGCTTTCTGTTTCACTTTCTCTCACTCTTCTGCTTTATGTCTCACTTCCTCCCACTCTATCCAGTAGTTGCAGAAGTAACGTTATATTTGTGTCAGGTGTGATAATGTGAGCGACAGAAACAGTTTCTCCAGTCTACAGTGGGACAACACGTCTCACAGTAACCATGGTAACACGTCTCACTCTAAAGCTAAAGTTAATCTCAGCAATCAGGTGACTCTCATTATTAGGTTTCATATACCGCGGTAACCATGGTAACACTTCATATACCGCGGTAACCATGGTAACACTTCATATACCGCGGTAACCATGGTAACACTTCATATACCGCGGGAAGTAGCGGAGAATTGGTGTGAGTTTGTAGTGACACGTGATACTTATCCGGGAATTTTTGTAGTTAGTTGTAAATTACGACTCTTAAACAACGCCCCACTTACTCATCTTACTCATGATAGTTGTAAATTAGTTGTAAATT